TACAAGCAGTGGAGGTGAAAATGACGATGGCAACATATGTACAGATGTGCATGACACTGTGGGAAACAGAAAGATTTCTCCCAAGTCTCTCCTCCAAATATATGTAGACTTAGGACACTGCTGGCAGCTAATGGTAAATGAATGTCAAGTTACCTCCCTGAAGGCAGTCAGTTGCCAGACTACTGTCTGGGCCCACCACAGGTAGGGCTCACTCCCTGCTGTTAAGGACAATGGGCTACTTCTCCCTAAAGGCTTGCTCAGTGACATCCAAAGTTAGGCCACCATCATGAATCTAGGGTTCTCCCATCTTGTCACATGAATACCCTTTTCCCCTCCTCTTCCAATAGGATATTACCCCTAGATCACACCTATTACCCCTAGATCACACCCCCTCCCATTACTGTATTACCTATAGCACAACCCTTTCCTGTGATGTTTGTCTTCACCTGTAATTACGGGGTTTGCACATCCGCAGAGAACATAAAAACCTTGGTTAGCAATAAATATCTCTCTCTCTCTCCACGTGGACCACTAAGTGAGGCTGAGGTGAGTATGCTACTGTGAAATGTGTCTGACTCCATTATTTCTCTCACTTTTTGTTTAATCGTTTTATTAGGGGCTCATACAACTCTTAACACAATCCATACATACATCAACTGTGTAAAGCACATTTGTACATTCACTGCCCTCATCATTCTCAAAACATTTGCTCTCCACTTAAGCCCCCGGCATTAGGTCCTCATTTTTCCCCTCCCTCTCCGCTCCTCCCTCCCTCATGAGCCCTTGATAATTTATCAATTATTATTTTGTCATATCTTGCCCTGTCTGACGTCTCCCTTCACCCACTTTTCTGTTGTCCGTCCCCCAGGGAGGAGGTCACATAGAGTTCCTTGTAATCGGTTCCCTCTTTCCAACCCACTCTCCCTCTCCCCTCCCAGTGTCGCCACTCACACCACTGGTCCTGAAGGGATCATCCGCCCTGGATTCCCTGTGCTTCCAATTTCCATCTGTACCAGTGTACATCCTCTGGTCTAGCCAGACTTGCAAGGTAGAATTCGGATCATGATAGTGGGGGTTTCTCTCTCACTTCTATCTCTCATGCTCTCTATGACTTTACTATTATCTTTACTTATTATCGCTGTACAATTGTGCCTACTGGACCCGTGATGATGTGTTAGGGGCTGGTCAACCCTGACATGACACAATGGATGGATGGATGGATTTTTATAAGAGCTGTACGAGCCCCCAATAAAATGATTTTTTTTAAAAAAGGAGGATAGAGACATGTCTGACTTCTGCTTCGTGGGAATCATCTTTTGACAGATTAGAGTTGGATTCTCCTCCTTCACGTAGTTGGAGATCAGTCATGGCCCCATGATATTTCCTCACCCGCCCACAAAGCCAATGTTCCTCACCTTACATTGCTGAGCCATGACTGGGGTCGTAAAAGCTCACGAGTAACCATCTAAGTGCAACTGTGGGTCTCTCCTCATCCAGAGCAAACAGGAGTGGGAAATTTTTTTTAAATCGCATGGAAACAATTAGGCCAACAGACTAATGAACCAACTCAACAGCAGCCTGAGACCAGAAGAGCTAGATAGTGCCCAGCTGCCACTACCAAGTACTCTGAAAGCTTGCGGCACGTCAGAAGGTCGTGGATAGAGTCAGAGGAAAGAATGTAGACCCAAACTCAAAATCACGGGAAGGACCAGGATTGCTTTTTGAATGGAAACGGGTGGAGCGTCTGAGACTGTGGCCTTGGCTGCCCTTGGGTGAACTCCATTTTTAGGCAGAGAGTGCACCCTTCTTAGAATAATCACCCATTTGAGATCCAAAGGGCAGCATCTACTCAAGGACAAAGCTTGGAGAAGTTAGGAAGGAGACATAGAAATAGGAAACAGGGAGGAAGTGGTATAAGTGTAAGCTTCTTAAACTGTGGGTCACGACCCCATAGGGGGGATTCACATAACTGCATGTGTTGGTGG